CTTTATCCTTAGGTGAGTCATTATTCGTCCCGATCATCAAGAAGGGACCAAGCAAGGACTGTGCAAACCACCGTGACATAAGTTTATTTCCAATCATCACAAAATCGCTAACTTCTGTGATATCCCGTCGCCCGACATCCCCAAGGGAGATGAATATTTGCAAACAGCAAGCAGAATTCCGACCAGGTGGCGGCCGCATCGACCAAATCTTTACTCTGCGTCAAATCCTCGAATTGTGCGACACACACATCGTCGACCAACATCCGCAGTGTCCTTTTACCTAAAAGCAGCCTTCGATTTAGTTGACCCAAATCGGTTTACTGCTTCACAGAGAAATGCTGTAGGTTTATATAAACCTACCACGATCACCGTATGTGCATCCATCGGTTAGCGCCAGGGTTTATGGTAAGCTAAGCAAATTGCTGGAAGCCAGGAGTGGTGTTCGGCACGAGTGCCTTCTTCCGGCATTCCTATTAAACTTCGCCGTAGACGAAATACTAGAGAATGCACTAGGTGGGTTCCAAAATAAATAGGCAGTTGGATAAAAGCTGAACGATTTACAGGACGTTGACACTGTTTGTCTGTTAAAATGTGGAGAATGCACGAAGCGCACGTGACAAACTTTCAAGTTATGTTGCCCTGCCTGGTACGCTCTTCGCGCCTTCAAAATACAAAGTGATGCTACAGGATTAGGTGTTGTCTACCCCGGCTCTGATGCTTGATGGTCAATAATTAGTTGAAGTGAATTGCTTCCCCTACTTAGGTAGTTGTTTAACAATTGACGGTAGCGTAAACAAGGAAGTAAACACCCGCCTTTCCAAACCAAGAGCAGCGTACGCAGGACTGAAACGCCTTTGATGCCGAAGTTACGCTGATTAAAAATGAAAGGTCACGTACGCAGCACCAGTGTGCGGGAAGTCTTAAACTGCCGATTATTAATTAGTTCGGTTTGGGTTAGAGGAAGTCAGCGAGTAAGCAAACCTGAGGTAAGCCGTCGCGTATTTGGTACTGATTCGGTGGAAAATTCGTCATCACACAGAACTAAGATCAGTGGGCATCGTTGGTTAGGAGACGTGTTGCGCATATCTCGCTGTCGTCTACCGCATCGCACCTTATCTACAGGTGCAGCTCCAGGTTCGAGGAAGCCACGTGGAGGTCAACCGGTGACGTAGAGAAGTGGTCGGAGGAAATGCACAGAGCGATAAGGTAGAATGGTTCTCCCGACTTCTAGGTTGGGGTCCAGAAGACTCTGAAACTGGTGGACTGGAGACAGTGAAGGATATGGCAACTAACTGACAACAGTGGCGTTCTTGCTGTCATTTATCTTCACGTAAGAATGCTTAAAATGTTGTGCCCACAGTTAGTTTGTGCACTTTGTGTTGAACATAGAGGTTCACTTCCTTTGCTTCCCTCGAATTAGGCCCAAACCCTATCCATCTTGTACTTCCTCACTCACTTTGTGCACATCGTGAGCTTGGCAGCAACGAGTGAAGTTTAATTACATGGATCTCGCTGTACGACAATGATATAATGCTAATAAGTATTGTATGTAGAAATATCATGTTTGTTTGCGCCCATATAATTCTTCAAGTGTGCTAATCAGCAGCTTTCAAGATCTAGCTATGAATGACCTTCGACTTTTTCCTCTCGGTTCTCACACCCTGACGGTATTTTTATTTCTCCCAGTGATTATCAGTCGTTTCGTGGCTGATGTGACTCGTCAGAGTTCTGACGAGTGACGGGTGTCGTGCTACGACATACCTGTCACCGCGATTAAAACTACTCAAGTCTTGGACAAACGATTAACACTAAAACACATTCAGTTATTTCTGAAAAAGCACATCACATATCTCAGGAACCCAGTACGTTAATGGGGGGATGAAAACTCACACTTGTGAAGTAGCTTCAGACTGGGAATAAAAGGACCGTCTCTTTGGCAGAAAAACAGTACATCCCCCTGTGTATCGGCAAATAACTCTATATGCTCATGACTGGAAGTGAGTAACTAAAACTGATGAACTCTAACCATTTCACCACTTTCAAAGTATCTTTTTTGGGTACGATTTGGTCCATAATTTCTACATCAAAGTCATAATCTTCGCAAACCCTTTTTCTAATTGCTTTCGCTCTTGAGTTTTTGGCATTAGTAACTGAAGATATATCCTCCTTTTCATCGAACCTAAAAACCATGGAATCAAGAAAAAAACGCATACTTCTTGAACATAGTAGCAAAAGCTGATGCCGACACGAACCAACGGTAATTGCACAACAAAGCCGAACCAAACAGAAGGTCAGGTCAGGTTCAGGTCAGTTCAGTTCAGTTCAGTTTGCACAGGACGATGTGTGGCCCA